GAGAAACCCACAGGAACTGGATGGAAAGGAAACCATTCCCATTCCCATCCCAAAAAAAAAAGCCAGCCTGAGTTTTCCCGCCTTTTTCCCGCTTTTCCGAGGGGTTTGGACTCACTTGGCCTCGTTGTATCTTCCCTGGAAAAAGGAGAAGAGCCCTCGGATGTAAAACGCCGCGGCCCGGAGGCAGTGGGAACTATGGGGAAAAAAAAAAACCATGGATACCTCAAACCCCACCCAAATTCCCAGGAATTCCACCCCAAAATCCAACTCCCAATGAGATATTCCATTTAAGCCCCATCCCGAGTTTTTCCCCCGGAATTAAGTTGGATTTTTTTTTTTTCCCCTGATTTGTTGGAAGTCCTGCTGGAAATCCGTCATTCCCGCCCCGGAATGTTGGGATTTGTTGGAATTCTCACCTCACTGGGAAGTTGTGGTCGGGATTTATCCTTTCCAATAAACTGTAGAGCTGGAAAATGGGAGAGGAAAAGGAATCATCGTGGAAAAATCCATTTTCCAAGGAAAATTCAACACCAGACCAGTGAAATTCCACTCAAACCACCCCCAATTTATCCCAATATTGGGAATTTTAGGCTCGTTTTGATCCCCAAAATCAGATTTTATCCAAAATCTCCTCCAATTCCCCAGGATTTCCTGGATAATAATCATATTCCCACAGAAAACTTGGAGCTGGTTGGTCTGATAACGGATCTAATATTGGATTTGATTAATTAAACCCAAAATTTAATAAAAGAATTCACAATTTTTAAGAATCTTTTTTGCTTCCCGGGGGTTTTTCCCAAATTTTGTACGCAGGGAACAAAATTCCCGTGGAGAATCTTCCCAGGGCAAATCCCTGAGGGCTCTGAGAGGGTGAAAATTGGGAATTCCAGGAATAAAACAGCAAAACTCAGGAGCAGATCCCTGGGTTTGGTTATTCCTGTGATTCCCTGGAACTCCTGGAGATGGAAAATTGATGGAAAATGATGGAAAATGAAGCCAAGGGGTTGAATGAGAGATGAGAGCGTTAAACCCCATTCCCATCGGGAGAATTCTGGGAATAATCCAGAACTTTTGGAGTTTTTCCAGCCAATTTCTCAGGAATTCCCACTCCCCTCATGTGGGAGCTGCTGCCAGCAAGGCCTTGATGGCAAAAATACCCAGGAAAAGCCAAATCCCAGGAATTTTCTCCACAGAAAAAAGGGATTTCCCATTCCCCTGATGAAGGAGTTGCTGCCAGCAAGGCCCTGAAGGCAAAAATGCCTGGGAAAAGACAAATCCCAGGAATTTTCTCCACAGAAAAGTGGGATTTCTCCCTCCCCTCAGGAGAGAGCTGCTGCCAGCAAGGCCCTGAAGGCAAAAATACCCAGGAAAAGCCAAATCCCAGGAATTTTCTCCACAGAAAAGTGGGATTTCTCCCTCCCCTCAGGAGAGAGCTGCTGCCAGCAAGGCCCTGAAGGCAAAAATACCCAGGAAAAGCCAAATTCCAGGAATTTTCTCCACTGAAAAGTGGGATTTCTACCTCCCCTCATGACAGAGTTGCTGCCAGCAAGGCCTTGATGGCAAAAATACCCAGGAAAAGCCAAATTCCAGGAATTTTCTCCACTGAAAAGTGGGATTTCTACCTCCCCTCATGACAGAGTTGCTGCCAGCAAGGCCTTGATGGCAAAAATGCCTGGGAAAAGCCAAATCCCAGGAATTTTCTCCACAGAAAAGCAGGATTTGGGGAGCCCCCAGCTCACCTCCTGGTGCCGATTCCCTTCCCGGATGTAGACGCTGGCCAGGTTGGTGACAATAAATGCCCACAGCTCCTGGTGGGTTGTGAGCTGGAAAGGAGAAAATTCCCAAATATTTCAGTCTTTCCCCCAGGATTTGCTCATTCCCAGAAAAAAATCCTGGCTAAAAAATCCCGTATTGATATTTTGGTGTTAGAAATCCCCCCATGATCCATGGAAAATCACTGATAAATAATGGAATTAAGGGAGATTTCCCTTCCAAATTCACATTGCCATTCCCAAGACCCATTCCCGAGTTTCCAGAAGAAAATTTGGGAATAAAATCTCACCCTCAGTGCTGTAGTGAATTGTGCTTCTGCATTGTCCATGCAGTTGACAGAGATGCAGTAGAGACCCTGGAAAAGAAAGGGTATTTTTGGGAATGCAGCCCAAAACATGCCCAAATCCATGGAAATATTGGGATAGCAGCGGGAAAAAGGGACCAGCAAGTCTCAGGTGTGGGGAAAACAAGGAATTTCTACAAAATGTCCTTTAAAACAAATTATTCATGGAAAACAAAGCTTAATTTAGCCAAAAAACCTTTCTTAAAATCATGGAAAACTCAGTATTCCCCACAAAAACTCTTCCACAATTCCCACAAAAAGCCATCTCCAGTGGGCACAGTCGAAATCCCTGGATTTCCCTTTTTCCAGCTGATTCCTCCAAAATTCCCACTCCCTTCATGAAGGAGCTGCTGCCAGACAAGGCCTTGATGGCAAAAATACCCAGGAAAAGCCAAATCCCAGGAATTCTCTCCTCAGAGAAGTGGGATTTGCTGGAACAACTTGGGATAGTGGGAAGTGCCCCCTACCCACCCAAACCATCCCGGAATTCTTTTTCCCAAGGGTTTTAAGCCTGGAATGAGCCCCCCCCAGCCGTGGATGATGCAGATCCGGTCATTCCCAGGGAATCTCCCTCCGGAATTCCCAGGTTTCATCCCAAGAACTCACCAGGAGCGTGTGCAGCTGGGCAGCGTGGTTGGAAAAGAGCCTGGGAGACTGCTGGCACAGCTGGCAGACCTGGGAAATCTGGGAAAGAACGAAATTCCCAATTCTGGGCATTTTTCCCCACCATTTTCTGCTCTAAATCCCGCTCCTTGCGCTCCTCTTGGATCCAGGGATTGGCTCCTGGATCTCGAATCCGGGATAAAAGGGGAGGCTGGGTGTGATTCCAGCACAGGAGAAGGGATTTCCTGGCATTCCTCCCACATTCCAGCTGGTTTGGAATGGTTTCCTCCACCCCCTGGAATTCACAGCCACAGATCCCTCCCGAAATGCTCCAGATTTTCCAGGAAAAGTGGGATAAAGCCTTCCAAAATCTGGGATTGGGATGAGCAGAAAGAGGAGGATGAATCTCTCCCCATTCCCAGCACATTCCCAGTAAAGCTGCCAGCAGGGACTGGATGATGCAGTCCCGGGATGGATTCCCAGGATTTTAAAATGATTGGAAAAATGGGAAAAAAAAAGTCCAGGTTCCTCTGGAACAACACAACCAGGAAAGAGAAGGAAAAGCAGGAATGTTAAAAACTGGGAAACACCTGGACAAGGCAGGAACAGGAAGAGGAAGGTGCCACCCTGGAATGGATGGAATGGGAAAAAAACCAGCCTGGAATTCCCCCCAATTCGAATCAACTATTGATCATTCCATGATCAATTCCAAAGTATCCTTAACTAAATATTTAAGAGGAGCCAATCCCACATTTTCCATGTCCTGAGCACCACCAAGCCTGGCTGTATCCACGAATAACCCAGCAGGAATTCCCACCTGAGCCCAAACCTGCAATTCCCACGTTATAAAAGCTGTTCCTGCAGAGTATTCCCATTTTTTGGGAGCCATTCCCGGGCAGGAAACGCTGGAATTCCCACGTTACCTCCTGCAGGGCTGTGGCTTTGTGTCCCGTCACCAGCCTGCACATGATGATGTGTTCCAACAAAATCACTTGGAATGAGGACAGGATGGGGCTGCAGTCCAGCACTGGGAGAGGAGCAGGAAGAATTCCATCACGGATTTAAGGAATGTTTCAAATCCCACAAAAAAACCCCAAAAAAAGCCCCAAAAAGCTGGGTTTTTTTTGTACTCCAAAGTCACCACCCGGCCTTAAAATCAGGTTTTTAATCTTAGTTTTAGTCTTAGGCTGACCCAGCAGCTCAACAAAGCTGAGGGATAGGTTTAAATGAGGAATAAATCACGGGATTTTCCTGGATTTCCCTGGAATCCAGCTGAATTCCGACCCCTTTTTCCTTACTTTTGAGCTTCTCCAGCTGCATGAGGGCTTTGTCCGTGTATTTCTGAGCCTTCTCCAGGTACCCTGCCTGCATGGAATGCATCACTGTCACCTGCAGGGAAGCACAGTATGGATTATCCACCTCGGGAATTCCCCTGGCATGGAATTCCCACAGGAACTTCCCTGGGAAGTTTTGGAGCATCCCAGGATGGTGGCAGGTGGGATTGAGAGGGTGGGAATGGATGATTTTTAAGCTCTTTCCCACCTCCAACCATTCCACGAATCCCAAAATTTATCTGTGCGGAGAGGGAAAGGCTGGGAATTCACAGAATTCCTCAAATCCCAGATTTTTAATGCCATTAACGCTGGAATCATCTCCAAGAAATGGAACAAAAATCCTTCAGTGATTCCAAGTCTAGCTCCCCTCATGTTAAGAAAATTAAGCCAAAGTGGCCTGATTTGTATAAATAACTCCATTTCCATCTGAGTCAGGTCCTAATTAATAAATCAATTAATTATTTACTCATTAATTCCCATTTCCAGCCTGGAATCTCCTCACACATCAAGCACTTCCCTCAGAATCACCCCACACACACTGAGGGAAAACCAGCACAAAGCAGCTGAGAAAATTAAGCCAAATTGTAC